ACCTCCTTACTATCTCTATCAGGCTAGCATTATAGAGATAGTAAGGAGGTTGTGAGGTATTTAAGCTAGCCTGATAGAGATAGTAAGGAGGTTGTGAGGTATTTAAGCTAGCCTGATAGAGATAGTAAGGAGGTTGTGAGGTATTTAAGCTAGTCTGACGTAGATAGTAAGGAGGTTGTGAGGTATTTAAGCTAGCATTATAGAGATAGTAAGGAGGTTGTGAGGTATTTAAGCTAGCTTAAATACCTCACAACCTCCTTACTATCTCTATCAGGCTAGCTTAAATACCTCACAACATCCTTACTATCTCTGTCAAGCTAGCTTAAATACCTCACAACCTCCTTACTATCTACGTCAGACTAGCTTAAATACCTCACAACCTCCTTACTATCTCTATCAGGCTAGCTTAAATACCTCACAACCTCCTTACTATCTCTATCAGGCTAGCTTAAATACCTCAAAACCTCCTTACTATCTCTGTCAGAGTAGCTTAAATACTCCATATCTTCCTTACCATCTCCATTAAGCTAGTTTAAATACGCGACAACCTCTTTCCTATCCATAACAGGTAAACTTAAATATCCCATAACCTCTTACCTTTATCAGGTTAGCTTCTTCTAAACTCCATCGTATCTTTATTAGTCCAGCTTAAATACTCCCACATCCTCCTTCCTATCCTCCTATATTCTCGTTTTTTATTTTTCATGCTAAATTTATTCTCATCCCTTTCCTCCCACTGTAGAGATAGCTTTTCACATCTCCTTTCGTTTTGCTTCAGTATAGTTTCATTCTATACCTTCTTCGTGCTGCTGTTGATTGCCTTAATTCTACATTCTCCAATCTCTCTCTGCTAAGCTGTTTCAGTTCACATTCGTCCACGTTTCTCTGTCTAACCTAGTTAATTTTACGTCATCCTCTATATTTATTTAAACAAAATCACAAAAGAGATGTAATGGTAGAGCTACCATTAGTATAACTTCTTACAAAAGAAGTATTGACTCTTTTATTGCACATCTAGATGTACCTATAAACACTGATCGTAGGTTTTCTTTGAAACATAATATTTCTTATCGTTAAATCTGGTTCGGTTTATAGGAAACTGACCTCATATTACGTTAATTAAAATGTACGTCATTAAAATCGGTTCTTTTTTCATCAGTGTTATAAACTCGTACTGTTTTTGATATACTGTAAAACCTTCAATGTAGTCCAGCAAAGGTCTTATTACTTTCGAACGACTTTTTAAATATTAGATGGGGATTTTTTAGAATTACCCGGTACCAACTAATCATTATCTAATGTAAAAAAATAGAATTAGTTTATATCAGTTAAAACCCCTAGAGGTCGCTTCATGTGTCTCCACTTGAAATGATGTAGTAATTTTATTTTAACTTAATTCAATTTTTATTGGGAACTGCTAAAATTATGTTGACTTCTAATTCTACTAATTGCATTTTATTCTAATTTTAAACTGTCTGTCCGCCGCCTGAAATCAAATCCCAGATTTAAGCATTGTTAGTCCATAGTATTAGAAGGGAGAACTGTGAACAAATATGCTTGAAAATGTACGTTTTAGGATAAGTCGAGATAGAAAGACAAAATGTTGGAAAACAAGTGATAAATTAATTTAATAGTCATTAGGGTCATGTGTCCTTCGCCTCATCCAAAAATTTAAGTATTCTGACAATTTCATGAATTCTCCACAAAATGAAACAAAATAGAACGTGACATCATGACGCCGTGATTTATTGATTTGCAGATGTACGAAAAATTCAGTTTCTGTTTTTGCATTTTTCTTGTTTTTGTATTTCTGCTTTTCATAATGGAAACTAAGCTATAAATATGTGATATAAATTCATATAGGCTCCTCATTACAGTCAGGTTTATGAAATGAAATTTAAGTAATAATGATCTAATCCTACGATGTGCGTGGAATACTTTTACACGCAGTAATCAAGTTGATTGTCAGAAACAGATCCACGTTTTTAGCACTACTTTCACGTACTGATAAACTATGTAAAGATTTATGAAGCAGTCTTTCGTGAAATTACGACTCATTTATGAGATACACACAGAGATCGTCTGACAGAGTAATAGCCATTTAAAAACAGACCTCATCGATTTAACGTTTTTTTTTGTTGTTGTTTTTAAGCAAAATAGGGACTATCTTTCGAAATTTGGCTAAAATAATTCAGTATCTTCATGGAGTGAATTCTAAAGACTTTTAAACGGCTGTTAAATCTTTGGTTTCTAGTATGTATGTAAACATAATAAATATATTAATAAACTTGCCTTAATGCACTTATTGAAAACTCATATTTCTCGGCCACGTTTAAAGAAAGTAAAGTTAACGTACATTTTAGTAGTATTAAAATAAGCTGCCTGTAAAGGGAACAGCTACTAATTTCTTTGTATCACTCTAAGGAAATACAACAACATGTACTACTATACACAAAACTGTGAAAGATACAAGACAGAATGGTTTGGATCGATGATACTCTAAAATGATTTTATACACAAATATTTAAAAAATGATAATTTTAAAACCATTTACAAATAAGTACAAACCTAATCTAAAATGTCCTCGATTGACTGTCTTTTTTTTGTTGGTTTTTTTTTTTCGACTCCTAGAAGTCTGAAATCCATGGATTCATAGCTCGAGCACGCTAGCCACAAGGCCATGCCTGATTTGTTTTGCTTTACTACAAAAACAAACAAACAAAGCACACGCACAATTTCTAAACTGGAACAAAATCAAACAAAATATACACTTTATCGCATGTTGTGGTGCACAGAGAAAAGTCGTAAAGGTGAATAACGAGGTCGAAAATCAATCAATGCATTATTGTATTACACTACCAAGAAAATCATCAAGCACGGCACACAAACGAAAAAGGATTTTTCATAAAAGTTACTTATTGTTATATGTTCTTGTGTCTTTCGACTTTTCTCAAGAATGTGCTTATGCCATGATTACATGTAGCTCTCTTGGCCATCTGTATCTCGGTTTGTTTGGATGTATAACACTAATGATTTGTATTCACAATACATTTTCGTGATGAAACTTTGTAGAATGGACGGCAACTGCCTGTTGTAGAGACACAAGTGTAGAGGACGACGTTTCGAAAGTCTTCCGCCTTTCGTCTTCAGGTCAGTGTGTGTAAGGTGTTGTCGGTCTTTATAGTATTCTGGTGGATTGTGAAGAGCGTGTTATGAATGGTTGGTTTATCCATGTTTCTGATTGGAGGAAATATTTCCTGTAGATTCAACCAATGGTAGCCACAGGTTACTCACCTCTAATCCGGAATCTCTGTTTAAATGTGTTAATATAAAATGATTCTTTAATTTTTCTTGTCTTCCAACTCTGTAAAATTGCCGGCACCCCTACAAAACGCATCTCCCCATACAACCTCTTCACACAAAACCACGATGGCTAACCAAATGTATGTTTTATGTCAAGACTAATCATTGCCTTTCTTTTTTCAGCTTGGGCACAGGACAGACAGACTATTCGGCGTCTGCCCTGTGATAGTGTGTTTTCTCCGGTTCCCCCCCCCACACCTAAATTTGGTGCATAGAACTTATAGGTTCCAGCCCACCCTGAGAGGGTCGTTGATTAATTAAGTAATTAATTAATCTATCAATTAGTTAATACATCAATTAATCATTTAACAATGAATTATTAGTTAATACAACATCAAGAAAATATCGTAAACTCCACATATATAACAACGCCTACCCGTGCCTTGTGTTTCCCTGTAGCAGCAACATTCGACCACCAAACACGATGTTTGTTTGTTTTGAATTTCGCGCAAAGCTACACGAGGGCTATCTGCGCTAGCCGTCCCTAATTTAGCAGTGTAAGACTAGAGGGAAGGCAGCTAGTCATCACCACCCACCGCCAACTCTTGGGCTACTCTTTTACCAACGAATAGTAGGATTGACCGTCACATTATAACGCCCCCACGGCTGAAAGGGCGAGCATGTTTGGTGTGACGGGTATTTGAACCCGCGACCCTCAGATTGCGAGTCAAGCGCCCTAACCACCTGGCCATGCCGGGCCACCAAACACGAATATGAAGAGGATGAAAATTCAATATTATACTTCTTCATTGTTGCCTGCCTCCTTACCCTTCCTTTTTTTTTCCTCCTCCGGAATCGCAAGAACTAACATTCCACGAGCGGGGTTGAAGAGGAACAAAGTGTTCCTGAGCACTCCAGTTGGGAAGAGAAGTAAGTAAGGCTTGTCTTCCAAAATTTGTCTGTGTCGATTATTCTAGTTTTTTTCCAGTTTATTTTGTTTCCAATTGATATGGTGTGTTCTTCAATGGTTGAATCTTGTGTTTTCATGAGTCTTGTACTGTCTTTATGTTCTTTCATTCTTGTCGCGAGTCTGTTTCCTGTTTCTCCAATGTATGTTTCGTTGCAGGAACACGTAATTTCATAAATGACGTTTTTGTGTTTCTCACTGGTAGGTTGCTGTTTGTTTTTTTCAGAATGGACCTTAATGTCTTTTAGGATTTCCACCGGACTTCTATGTTGAATTTCTTGGCTGTGCGTTTGTGTTCTTCAATTTTGCGGGTAGGGGAGGTAAATGGTAGTAGTGATAATGTTTTTCTTATCTTTTCTTTCTGTTGTGATCTTCTTCAGGAAGTTTTTGATGAAGGTGGAGGTATAACCATTCTGTTTAAAACCCTCTTCCATCTCTTGGCGTTCTGTTTCGATGGATGTCTTATCGCAAATGTTTTCTGTTCTCTTGTTTAGGCATTGGATTACGCCATATTTTATCGAGGTTGGATGTTACGAATGGGGGTGTAGGTATCTGTCAGTGTTGGTTGGTTTTCTGTATACAGTTGTGGTGATTTTTCTCTCTTGTCTGCTGATGAGTATGTCAAGAAACGGTAGGCTGTTTTGTTCCTCTAGTTTCATGGTGAATTGTATTATTTTGTCTACGGAATTAAGATGTTCTAAGAAGGCTGGTACGTTTCATGACCGTGTGGTCAAATAACGATGATGTCGTCAACATAACGTACGTAGAAACTTGGATTTATAGATGTGGATGAAAGGGCTCTTTCTTCAAAGTCTTCCTTGAAAATGTCTGCTAAGATTGAAGAGCGTGATGATCCCATGGCTAGACCATCTGTTTGTTTGTACAATTCTTCGTTGTATTGGAAATAAGTTGATTGTAGGCAAATAGTCGTTAGTTCCATGAAGGCGACTATCTTCATGTCAGTTCTGTGTGGTAGAGAGTTGTCAATAAGCAGTCGTTGTCTGGTGATCTGAAGGGTTTCTGAGGCTGGAACATTGGTAAATAGGTATGTGACGTCAAAATTGCCCAGAATATCCTGGGATCTGATGTGTAGCTTTCCTAGTTGTCCTATGAAATCTGTCGAGTTTTGAATGCGATGTTCGGTGTTTCCTCGTAGTGGAGATAAGATAGGTACTAGGAAGGTAGCTAGTTGATGGCAAGGTGAGTTTATAATACTGACGATAGGCCTTAAAGGTATGTTGGGTTTGTGTACCTTAGAAAGTCCGTAGAACTGAGGGGGGGAGTTTTCGTTGGTTCTTAAAGATAGCTCCTCGTTTATTAAATTTTGTTTCTTAAGTTTGTTCAGTGTTCTATTGATGACTAAATTTGTCTTTTCTGTAGGGTCATTGGTGATCTTTTTATACTGGTGTTTGTCTAGTAACTGCTTGATCATCGTGTTATAATATTTAACCTCTAGGATGACTATACTGTTTCCTTTGTCTGCTGATAGGATCTTGATATTGTCTCGTTTTAGACGGTTAAGTGCACTGCATTCTTGTTTAGTGTTGTTCGGTTTTGGTTTCTTGGCATTCCTGAGAGTGGTGTAAGTTTGATGTCGGAATTCTTCAGCCATAGGTTTCGGGAGGTTTTGTGCAGCAGATTCTAAGGTTGCAACTATGTCAACAGTTGGAACTGTACTAGGTTGTATGGAGAAGTTTAGACCTAGTTTGAGAACCTTATTTTCTATATCACTTAGTAATCTCGAACTGTAATTGTGAACTATGTTTCTAGTCGTAGGATTATCTGTCTTGGTAAGTCTGTTTAAATTTTCAACTTGTTTCTTCTTGGTATTTTCTAGGTTGGATGTATAGTGTTTGGTGTAAAGGTTTAAGATATCCAATGCTCTAGTATTTGTGGTGAAAAGTTGTTGAAGCTCAGCATATTGTGTTACAGTCACCAGACAACGACTGCTTATTGACAACTTTCTACCACACAGAACTGACATGAAGACAGACGCCATCATGGAACTAACGACTTCTACATCAACTTATTTACTACACAACGAAGAATTATACGAACAAACAGATGGTCTAGCCATGGGATCACCACTCTCTCCAATCCTAGCAGACATTTTCACGAAAAACTTTGAAGAAAGAGCCTTTTCATCACATCTATAAATCCAAATTTCTACAGACGTTTGTTGACGACACCTTCGTTATTTGCTTGATTATATTGCTTATCGTCGTCTGGGATATATGGAAGACTTTTGCCATTAATCTTTGTATTTTAGATTTTCACATGTTGCAAGACGCCGCATTTTGCTTTCCATGGCTGAGATGTGATTTGTTACAGATCTCTTTCTGTATGGTCCTGGCGCCCTAAGTTCATTCATATTCCTTTGTTTTCTTAATGGCATTAAGTGCAAGGGATACCCCGCCTTGGAAATTTTAAATACCCTATCTGAACACATCTTTATTATTTGAATGTATCAATATTTCGCGTTGGAAAGGACTGTTTCATACCCATCCCCACGATCCGTTTATTTTCAGTGACATTATGAAGCACTAGAAAATATCAAAATGTAGTTTTGATACAAGTCATTCCACCGTGACTTTATGTCGGCTGTGGTTGACACGTGACTTACTCATTTGCATATTCAAACCGTTTTAATATAATGTATCCAGTCTTGTATAGATTGATACTTGTTAAGCTATTCTAAATGAATAGATTTTGATTTGATTTTCTAATGATGAGAAAAGTGTTTTTAAAAGCAAGGAATACGTACTAAATATTCTAGCTGTTATAATAAGATTGTTGGTAAAATGAATGTCTTCTTCGATACTGCACCTAACCTTGTAGGTTTTAAAATGACCTAAATACCTATCAAGAAAGAAGGAAGTCAGACATTCAGTGTTCAGACATCCGGATTTGAACAGGTCATTTGGTTTATTTAATATAATGTTTTTAGCATCTGTATTTAATGTCATAAGTCTCATTTTTGGTTAATTTGATGTTGTCTTGACGTGGGTAAAAATGTTTTTAAGAGAAGGAAGTGATTTGGAAACGTTATTGATATTCTGTTTCTTTGATTTAAAACACGACTTAGTTTTTTTTTCTCTAATATTAAATACGAATGGCTAGCATTTTATTCTTCTCTCCAAGTTTGGATGGTGAAGAAATATTGATTGTTTGTTTGTTGTTAAGCACAAAGCTACACAATGAACTATCTGTGCTGAGACCACCATGGTATCGAATCCCAGTTTTTAGCGTTATAATCCAATAGACTTGTCGCTGAGCCAATGGGGGCTAAGAAATATTGATGAGATCGAATTTTATTGTACCCTTGAGCAACTCCTCTGCTTAATTACTCAGCATGAACGTTCGTCGAAGGATCTTAATTTCTAGACACCAAGATATATCGGAAGTTACACTACCATAAAGTAACTGCAGCTGGGAACAGCAACCAGCTCTTCAACTTTTATAACATAAAAATCTTAGACCGGAATTCTAGCATAAAAAAGTGTATGTGTGTTAAATGAAAGCCACGTTAGACCATCTGCTGTGTCCACCGCGGGGAATCGAATGCCGAATTTTAGCGTTGAAAGTCTGTAGACTTACCGCTCTCCTACCGAGGGACGAACATGAAAAGAAAAATTAAAGAGGCCATTGCCATCATAGCAAGCACCTCTACCCCCCCCCCCTCACCCCGACGATGCGATAAATATAAAAAACGCGGCTATCTATTAGTGAATGACGTTCTTACTTCTTTCGGAATAATTGAAAAGTTGTTCAAAAAATACTGTATACATAATTAGTGGATGCTAAAAAGTAACAAAAATAATGAGGTCTTAACCGCTAATCTTGAAGAACTCTACACACTAAAAATTTTCCTGTTAAATTAATCAGCTATACCGCAACAATTGTCATCGTTTAAATTTGCTTTAGACTGAAAACAGTCTTGTTAAGCCTACGCTACCTATACTTTGTATTGAAGTTGAAAGCTTGCACAAATAAACCCATAAACAATGTTTCGGAAAACATTAGTGTTTATTATTTTATTCAGTTTATAATCTTACGTTCATTGTGAATTTAAAAGTTTACAGATATATATTTTTAATTCAAACTTTTTTGTAAGATCAAAAGGTAAAATCCCATTAGTGTTTGAATGGAACGAACATGATAATTAGAAGAAGAAAAAACTGAATTCAACCAGATTAAATATCTAAATGGTTATTGCACCGGTTTAAAAAATTATCGTGAGAATCGGGCTGGAAAAACCAGAACTTGAATTCTTATTCATTTATATTCCTTTAGAGATACATCCAAACTGAATATTCAGTTCATTAAGCAACATATAGGAGTCAGCCTATTGTGTGTGTTTTCTTTACATTATGGACTTTAGATTCTCTCATTCTTGGATTCTCAGATACTCATAAAGATTTCATCCATGTTTGGATTATTTTTCTTTAAAGTTCACAACATCATTAGGACTTTTTTTTCAAAAGTTCGTGTATTTTCGTAGAAAAATAGACAGTATAATGATATTTTTTGTTGTTATGAAATATTTCTTGAAATTTCTGGTGTGTGTGTTTTTAATATAATTATTAGATGGATGTGACATTATAATTTGAGATAGAAAAACCCCAATTACACAAAAAAAATGGTAAAATTCAATTTTGACTTTTGCGGAAACAATATGTCAGAACAATAGAATCTCACAATTGAAACTTAAATATGTTTTAATTTTGACATCCACACATGTAACGTCATACCATCTAAGGTTGTTTGGGTTTTGTTTTTATTAGCACAAGCAAAGAAAATGTTATAGATGTATGAACAAGTTGTAACATTTATTCGCATTATGTGATTGTAAAAGGTATAACTACAAGATAACTAAATTTTCCAATGAATTACTAGAGTTTTTAAAGGAGAATCTATAATTTGATGTAAAATTCCGTAATCCCAGCGAGTTTTTCAAAGATTATTTTTCAAATATAGTGTCTCTTTATCCTTCTGGAAGTCCGACGATGTGTGTTATTACTCTAATTATCAATAAGCTAGAGTATATTGTTACATTTCTGGTCCTTCACCTTCTAAAAAGGAAGACGACATTTATCTGCTTCCTCTTCTTATTCTATATGTAAGACCCTGGGTATGGCTAAGTTAGTTCTGTGATTTACTAAAGTAGTATTAAAACAATTCAAAAGATGATCCATTAGGTCCGAATATTCTATTTAAACGTGCACTCTTCTTAATCAGAACCAAAATAATAATTACTCTTGTCTAATGTGAGCGGACCCAATCTTTATAAATATATATATATATACGTCTACAAGGAACTGATCAATAATCCTCAACCCTACATTCAACTTTATTATCTTCCTTTGAATAATTCCTTCCGAACTACAGAGCACGTAACGGTTTTATAAATCGGTGATGTAATTTGAAAGGTGCTGAACTCTCAAAAGTGAACATGCCACTTTGGACTTTAGGCCTCTTTTTTAATCTTTAGTTTTCTCTTTCATCTACAGAACGTTTCACAAATGCACTGGAAGAAAAGGAATAGAAAACTGCCAAATTTTTGAACTACAAAAGTCAAAAGTATAATATTTCATAAATAACGAAAGTAACCAGTAGACTGTAAAGTTACCCAATAATTTACAATAACTATAATATTGTTGCAGTAACCAGTAGACTGTAAAGTTACCCAATAATTTACAATAACTATAATATTGTTGCAGTAACCAGGAGACCATGAAGTTACCCAATAATTTACAATAACTATAATATTGTTGCAGTAACCAGGAGACCATGAAGTTACCCAATAATTTACAATAACTATAATATTGTTGCAGTAACCAGGAGACCATGATGTTACCCAATAATTTACAATAACTATAATATTGTTGCAGTAACCAGGAGACCATGAAGTAACCCAATAATTTACAATAACTATAATATTGATGCTTTAGCCGTTGTTTGTTATACTGCACTAAACAATGACACATGCTATAAAACACAAAACTGAACTTATTAAATAACATTAACGTCATTAAAAAAACCAAAAGACCTGACTAAGATACACGACAAAGAAACTACAAACTATTTAGCCCATTGGTAAGTCACTCCCACGCGATAGTGAGCTGTAAGATTTAGTGGGTAGCATATTATGTGAAAATAACAGGCAGACAAGTTCAGTGAACATAATCGTTCTTTCAGTATGGCAAAAAAAGTACAGAATTAAAATCAAATGGTAATGTTTATGAGAGTACAAAATAAATATAGAAAGAGGGTAAGAGCCACTTTCATGGGGAGTTTAAAACTTTGAAGTAAACGTTTTAATTAACTTGAAAATCATTATCTCATCACAAAAGTAAGTGTTCTTTCCAGGTATCAGTTAATCACAAACATCAAATAAAGTTTGTGATATTTCCATGTTTACTCCTGTTATCGCCGGGTTAGCAATCCCAAAAACCCAGCTAAAGTGCCCAACGGAATAGTGTGAAAACAGAAACTGCTCAAATTAGCGTCTATCATGGAGGTGGTAAACCTTATAAATGCAGAAAAAACAACAACAACAAAGATAAGCTTTTTGATTTGTATTTGTGGCAAAGCTGTTAAAACTATCTGTCCCTAATTTTGAACTACTGATCAGAAAGAACACGAATAGTTAGCAACATCCTACCGCCAACCATATAAGTTAAGAAATTCACTGTCATTCTTATAACGCACCCAAAGTAGAGGAATTGTTTTGTGGTATCGCTCACATTCAAACCCGGCTTGCCAGCTACGAAATCTAGAGTCTACCACGGGGACAACCTGCACCCTTTTGGTTTGTATTAGAACCTTAGACAAAGTGTAAGAAAGCTATTGAATACTGAAAGCAAAGTTAAATTGAAATCTACAGCCCAAGCAGGAATAAGCATAGCACTAATAATACTTGTTTTTGTCGCTGTAGTTGTTTAAAACCCTTGTTTGCTCTGTTTTTTTCTGTTAACTTATACTGTGAATATCTAGTTG